TATATATATATATATATATATATATATATATGTTAATTCACAAAAGTTTAGTTTCTAAGAAGTAAACATTTGTAAAGAAATGACCTGATAAAACTGTTCAAACTATCAATGTGACTTGATCTGGCTTCATTATCATTACAGCCTTCGATAACCATGCGAATATGTGTGTCATTAAATGCCAGTATATGATCTTAAGACATTGTCTGATGTATTGCACGGTTTTTTTTGGTATAGAAAATGATAAATAAAGAAGTGAAGAAATTTTCTGCTGTATAAAACAATAGTTATATTCAAAGATGTATGTTTGGTTTTCAAACATGCTAAATTTTAACATGATTTCATCTCATTTCATTTATTTAACTAAAAAATTAAATATCACTGAAAGGTATTTTTGGTAATAACGAACCATACAAATGTGGTTTAACGATTGGTAATAGTGATTTCCAGCGTTCCCCTGTAGAAATACCTTCCATTTCAAGTCGAAAAAGCATGGAAGCAGCATCTACAATATCCAGCATTGCTCCACTCTTAGTACGTTCTGCTATTTCCCTGAATTTAAAAATTATAAGCAAAAACCAAATTATTATATAAAATGGACAATCACACACGGTTATAAATAATAAGAAAAAATTATGATTATGAAAAAACGTAAAAAAATTGATGACAAAAAGAGATCTTAGCAAAACTGCAAAAGTTATCTTAAATGTGTTTTAATAATTATTCATTACTTGATCAATGAAACATATCTTCGTTAAATATGCTGTGTTATCATTATCATTGTTATTATCATTACTGCTATCATTGTGACGAACAAAAGTTAATTTATTAAATAAAAATTAACAAATCTTTGGTACCAAGTGAATAAATGAAAAAAGATGTATCAATAATTTTACATCTTCTATTTTGTTTACTTTCATAATCGGCACTATGAAATAGATTTTTTTTTGCCTTTTTTCTAAAGCAGATCATAAATGTACTGATGTTGATGTATTTACGCTTGTATGATTCATGCGCAATTGTGCTTCATACCTGTCATAATATGATAGCGCCTCATCATATTTTTGAAGTTCAATGTGATAAAGTGCTACATGCCAATAGTTATGACATGCAAGCATAAAACATTTCTGAAACAGTAAAAAAAATACAAAAATATTAACGCAAAAACTTTTAATACTATACAGTTATTTTTTAGAGCTTTTCAGCAAGTTGTATTAATTTTTTTTTTTTGGTTTTTCAATTTTGTAGATTTAATCATTTAGTCTATTTAAGTTACAGTTAGCAACGAAAGTAATCAATCTAAATAGATTTTAAAATTGAATGAACGAACTGTTTAAGATTAATTGTTTATCGAAAAAATTTTATTAAAAAAAAAGTAGGAAAATCTGAAACGAATAAATCACAGATTATTTTATTATTCACAAGTAACTGTTTCTACTTTTTTAATTTTACAATTTTCTTCAAAATGACAAATTTTTCAATTCATCATTATCCTTTCATAATAAACTTTTAGAATAGATTGAAAAGATGGAAATGAGTGAAAATGCAATAATTTTAATGGCAATTTTAGAACACTAATTACAATTTTTATTTAATCACAAAAAAATTCCTCTCAAAATCATTTTAATTATTTGACCCGTAAAGAATTGACTAGTAAAATCTTCGGTTATTTAATTATTCAATACAATCAAACATTAATACCAATCACAATAATAATAAAAAAGAAGTACCGATTCAAATTTACTGTGTTAATTTTAGCAGCATCAATTTTTTGTAAAATTAAACAAAGAGAAACAATTACTTGTGAATAATAAAATGATAACAATACTGAGGACTTTTGTAATACAATTAAGAAAAATAATGCTAACACTCCAGTCAGATTCTGTAGATTCCATAAAATGTATGCCTTCATTGGTACGTCCGGTCATTTCCATGCAATGTGCTAAGGCATGTGTTGCCCAAGCATCATGTCTGTTCAGTTCAAGAGCCTTAAGTTTAATCAAAAATAAAAACACTTTTCATCATATTATTAATTATTGAAATTCTTTGCAATAACTTTGCTCTCAGTTTCGATGAAAAATATAAAGTTTAATTAACTAAAGCAATGAAGTTATCAGTTATTCAGTTCTCCAGCTAACCTTTTTGGCATAACTTTCTGCTTTATCATATTGCTCGCATTCTTCCAATCCAAATGCATACATACCATATAAATAACTAGAAGTTTGCTAATTAAAAAAAAAACAAACCAAAATGTAATATTACTTTTATGATCATTTTTTGAAAATATTTCAAAAAATAAAAATTGAAATCAATATAGAACTAGCTAAGTTTAAGTTTCAATAATCGTGCAAAATCAAGTTCAAAAAATAAATTTTTATGCAAAATTTGAGCTGAAAATATTTTCATGATTGATTCAAAATTTATTAGATAATATAATGACATGTAAGTCTGCATAATAAGTTCAGAAAGTCTGAAATTCAAAGGATTTTATAAGTAGTCCTAACAATATGGATTTGATATCAAATTCCGTTGCCATTATTAATTCTGATCAAACCTCAGAATATTTCATTTGTTTACAATAATTTAGCAACAAACAAAAGAATAAAGAAAAAAAACCTGTAGCAAGGAATTGTAGGCTTCCATTTTGGAAGTACGTGAGCGATACTATCACGAATGGCTTCTTTATCTCCAAGATAAAAATATGCATCGTGATTAAACTTCAGTGCTAACAAATCATTTGGTATTTCACTTAAAATTTTCTCCCATATCTCGCATGCTGCCAATAATTTACTGTAAATAACAAAAATAAAGCTTTTTTTCAAATGTTTAAAACTACAAATTCAATTTTATCAAAATGAAAATAAACTTGATGTTAAATGTATTTTTGATTATTACTAACTAATATAAAATTTCAATAAAAGCAATACAAATAATAAAACAATAATTTAGTGATCAAAATAAAAATACCAATTAAATAAAAAATGAATTTACTACTGATAAAATTCACAATAATCTACAGAAAAAATTATTTATTGTTATTATTATTATTATTATTATTATTGTTAACCTAACTTACAGATTAAAATGAAATAATTAATCAGCAAATGACTTGTAATTCTTCAGTGGATAAAATGCTAAGTAACTTGTGAAATACAACCGTTGATACTGATTCTGCATGAAGAAAATCATAAATCTAAATGAAAAAAAGTTACTCACTCATTAGCGAACATATGAAGAGCTTTAGCATGGGCTTTTTCATATTCTGTGCCAAATTTGAGTGCGTCCTTAAGTAACTGCTTGAGTTCGTTCTGGTAATC